TTTGGGTTAATGTAAATTAAATACATGACTTTTACTTTTTTTTTTTTTTAATAAAATGAATGCAATGGAAAATTGTAAGAAGATTGTGAATGGTGGTGGCTGGTGGCGAGTGGCAGAAGTGGTCATCAGAGGGCGGCAGTAGTGGTGGCCTATGAAGGGTGGCGACTAGGGGTGTCAATTCGGGTCGACGGGTCGGGATCGGGTCGAACCCGAGCTGACCAGGATCTAAATGGGTCAACCCGAACCCGTTGCAAACGGGTCGAACATTTCAACCCGGACCCGACCTGCTCGGGTTACCGGGTTGACACGACCCGACCCGACCCGACCCGAGTTCGGCTGTACGGGATCACGAGTGGCAGCGACGGAGTCCAAGTCACGACTCACAAGCGCGCCTGCGGAGCGGAGCTAGTGCGGGCTGAACACAGGATCGCAGGCTGGACGCGCGCGACTTCGCGGGGTCGCGGGACACCTGGTCAGGTTGGACGCGGAGCGCGGGACGCCAATCAGGCTGGATGCGGTCACGCGGGATCCGTTGCTCTGCGGTTGTGCGGGCTCGCCGGGCTGGACGTGCGCGAGTTCGCGGGACCTGATTCGGACGCGACCTGACGAGCAACGGGACTCGACCTGAGCAGCGGGTTTGCGAAACGGGTCAATTCGGGTTGACCCGCGGGTTGTCGGGTCAACCCGAACCCAACCCGTTTTTCAAACGGGTCAAAAATACGAACCCGACCCGTTTCGCAAACTGGTTGACCCAAACCTGGATATTTTCAGGTCGGGTCGAAAGTTGACACCCCTAGTGGCGTCCGGCACTAGTAATGATGGAGTGTTTGCAGTGAATGTGGAAATCGCTAAAATCTGAAGAATTTTAAGTACACTGAAAATGCACTACATGGATTCTTTGGAATGTACTCTTTTTAAACTCTTTTTTATTTCACTACAAATCAAACATCAAATTTTCTAAAAAAATACAACGTTTGAATAACTTTACGCTCTAAATGTTGTTTAATTATCTTTTTTAATTAGATTTTCAAATTTACTTTAATTTATAATTTCGATAAGGAAAAAAAAAGTAATATTTATTTTATTGGCATGTGTTTGAGGATTAAGCATTACCAAATGAAAGTCAGATTAGATTAGGTTAAACTATATTCAATTCATTCTTGTGTTGTTTAGTTGAAGGATCGGTTAGCAACAAAAACATACATTTTCGGTTTGACCATGAATTTGATCAAATTATATTTTTATTAGTGATACATCATGAAAAAATTATAAGCGAACAGAATGCTCTTAATTACGTTAATACCATGTATTCCTTATTTAAGGCTAACTGTACCGCAACTTTACATGAATGAAAATACTCTTTCCTTTTTCCTATCTCTTGTCTCTGTTCTCTGTCTCAAGACGTTCTTCTTCCTTCTTCATCTTTGCTTTCATGGTATTAGAGCCATAGATGGCTGATCAAGAATCGACAAACACCCACCCAAATCCCTCACCTTCACTCTCCGGCCAACAATCTGCAGATCTCATAATACCTCCTCAGCTCAAGTTTCTAATATCCAATATCAAGAATCTCATACCTCATGCCCTCACCGCCGACAACTACGCCATATGGAGTATTCAAGTCCTACAGCAATTCACTGCCAATGGATATGCGGGACATCTCACCGGAGCATCTCCCTCACCCGTCGACGTTACCTCCCCGAAAGCCCTCCGCTGGCAACTTGAAGACAACAATCTGCTCTCCGCCTTATTCTCAACAATTTCGCCGTCGATCCTACCTTACATCATCACCTCCACCACCGCGCAAGAAGTTTGGCAGGTTCTTGAACGACGTCTTCAACCCACGTGTCGTTCCCGAGTCATACAACTCAAGAACGAACTTCATCATGTCCAGATGAAAAATCTCACTATGCAGCAATATCTATCGCAAATTAAAACGATAGTTGACAGCATAGCCGCCTCTGGTTCTAAAGTCGACCAGGAAGATATCATCATACACATTTTAAATGGCTTACCCTCATCATGCAATCCCTTTAAGGCAGCGATACGCACCTACCCAATTCAGCTAGACCTGGACAATCTTTACTCCATGCTGTGCAGCGAGGAGATCAATGTCACGCAAGAACATGCCAAAGATTCTACTTCTGATGCCGGCAGCACGGCTCTCTACACGAATTCATATAATTCTCAAAAAGGACGATCTCAGAAAAGGTTTTTCAAGAACAAGCCTCAACAATCCTCCCACAACTCCACTATACCTGTTTCGGTCCAGCCAACTACCGTGAACAACATTCGGCCTACTTGCCAAATTTGTGGCAAACCCGGCCACATAGCAATCAACTGCTGGCACAGGTGCAACTTCAAGTACGCTCCTACGATCACAAGATCTACCCAAGCCTTCAATGCTCAAACAAATCCGAACAACTCTTCCGAGTGGATCTTGGACACCGGCGCCACCTCCCATCTTACCCCGGACATCAACAACGTTCAACACCCCAACTCATACACCGGTCCCGACAGTGCTTCCATCGCCAACGGATCGACTATACCCATTCAGAATTCTGGTCAGGGACTCTTACCCCTTCCCGACACGCCTCGTAAGCTTTTCTTACGCAAAATTCTTCATGTTCCTAAATTAGCTCAAAATCTTTTATCTGTCTCAAAATTAACTACCGACAATCCTATATCTATAAGATTTGACGCAAATGGTTTTGTTATAAAGGATATCCAGGATCGTCGTCCGCTACTTCGTGGCAATCTCCATAATGGGCTCTACAAGATTTCCCAACAGCAAGACAATAAACACGTGGCTCTTCACGCAAGCTCTCTGACTACTCAGCTTTGGCACAACCGGCTTGGACATCCTCACCGGCAAATTCTCTCCATCCTCTCGCATGCTATACCGGACATCAAGAATGCTGCCTCTATTTCACCTTGTATTTCTTGTAGTGTGGCCAAGAGTCACAAAATTTCATTCAATAGAACTATCTCTATAACTAAACAACCATTTGAGTTGATTCACACAGATATCTGGGGTCCCGCGCCTATACTATCTCTCAACGGTTTTCGCTATTATGCTCTTTTTACCGATGATTTTACACGTTTTTCTTGGATTTATTTGATGCATAATAAACAAGAAACGTTTTCAAAATTCAAAATTCTTTACAAACTTATTAAAACTCAGTTTCAAACGACTCCTAAAATACTACGGTCGGATGGTGGAGGCGAATTTCTTAGCAACGAGTTTAGTTCTTTTCTTCACCACCACGGTATTCAACGTCAACTGAGCTGTCCGCACACTCTTGAGCAGAATGGGGTGGCCGAACGCAAGCATCGCCACCTCCTTGAACTAACACGCACTCTCATTCACGCCTCTAACACTCCTCACAAGTTTTGGGCCGAAGCTTTATCCACCGCCAATTATCTCATCAACCGGCTTCCCTCTAAATCCATAAATCTTCACACACCTTTTCAACGGCTTCACGGACGACCTCCCAACTACACATTTCTTCGCACTTTCGGCTTCCTTTGCTTTCCTTGGCTGCGCCCCTACACCTCCACTAAACTTGCTCCGCGATCTCAAGAATGCGTGTTTCTTGGCTATTCAACATCCCACAAAAGCTACAAATGCTACAACTTAATTACGCACAAGATCCACATATCGCGGCATGTTGTCTTCCACGAACATATTTTCCCTTACAAGACAGATCTACCTAAACCCAATTCTGACTTTCAAGCCCTGCCGGTTCACATTTCACCTTATCTTTTAACACCAACATCAACCATTCATATTCAATCCAGC